TTCTTCGTTTTACCGGTGGGTGACTGGGTGGGGGCAACGGAGGTTCCTCACCATCCACATCTCCCACAAACTTGATCGGATCTCGAACTCCCGCATAGACAACTGGCGCAACATGAAACCTCGGTTGTTTGTCCCCTTCTTGTTCAGGCAGTAGAACAACCGTGCAGCCACGAATGTTGGAAGATGGGCACAGAGCAATGCCTTCTATCGCCCGTGGCGCATAGGGTGTCTTTTTGCTCCATGACCTACTTTGCACCATGACCTTAGCCCCAAAGGGAGGCAGGGCCCGCTTGGGCCTTTCACCTCCCAACACTTCCATGCTCGCTCGGAATTTCTGTTCAACGAACTGACGGAGAGCTGAAGGCCATGAGCTTTTCTTGAGTTCAGGTGCAGACAAAAGCAAAGCACGAATGCCCGATTTCACACGTCCTACTACATTCTCTATCCTACCATTGGCCTTCGGATCTCCAGGAGGGGAATACGTAGGGTGTATATCACGGGAAGCACACCAGGACTTGAAACCCCGATTGGTAAACTCCCTACCCCCATCGCTATGAGTCCTACGCACCGAAAGGTTCATCACCGTGATTTTGGAGTAGATACGCTGAATGCCTCGGAGCACTTCCTCGGACCGCTTGGACCGGAGAGGCTCTGCAAACAGCACTTCATGCACTTGAACCGGCTCCTGAAGGTCCTTGGCGATTTCTCGCCACTTGGCTTCTTGTCTCTCATAGAGTGCTGCATATTCTTCTGGGGAAAGTTCTCCCTCTTCGCTCTCTTCCCTACTCTCTGGATCTTCAAGCACCAGTTGCCGGTCCCCATCTCCAGTATCTATGGGTCCCACACCTCTTCCGTCATCTTCATTCCCTTCTTCTCTCTCTTTCTCTTCTCCTTCTTTCTCCTTTTCAAGAGGAAGTGGCCTACCATCCTTGAGGATGGGGACTCCAAGAGTCGCCACTAGGATGTGCCGCGCGGGTCCTGCCAGGGCATGGTCATCACCGGCCGTCCAGGGCCCAATGAGGTCAAGATTCAGAGTCAACGCATTGGCATGACGATGCCTTTGCCTGAAATGCCTCGGGCCTCGCATGGCCGATTGAAGGCATACCTTACAGTCTCGGCGGAATACCACATGATCCTGTTCACAATGTTTCTTGAACTCTTCTTCTTCTCTTGACAAGGCACTCAGAGGCACTCTCTCATCTCTCTGTCTCTCTTCTCTCTTTTCTTCTTTTTCGCTGATCCATCGCCGAAGGGTTCTAGTCACTACATTCACCAACTCGTCTGGCCAATCGGCGGATTGTTGTGTTTGGTCGCCGCCTGTGCACTCGTCCGGCCCCCCTAACCCGCAGAAGGCATGACAACCAGGAAGTTGCCGAAACCCTCGGAATCCAGCTTCACCATCACGCGCATGCGTAAGAGTGAACAAGTCCCAGCTATTGGTGAGGAGAGCTGACTTTCGTGGCATCAACGTTCCTACAGTAGCTTGCTCAAACTCAGCCCGATACCACTGACCCCCTATCTCACCAAGATTCTGAGGAGCTGGCTGCACCGAGAGTTCATTTCGGCTCCACAGAGGCAAGTGCAACCTATCCCAAAACCTAGCCCTGTCCGAACCCTCTAGCACCAACACACTGCCTCCTGCGCGGTTGTTCTCCGCAATCCTGTGCAGTACTAGTGTTCGCAACACCTGGATCAATTGAATTTCCTGAGCAATCTCGCATCTTCTTGACCTTCGCTCTTCCCTCTGAAATTCGACACAACCCTCGATTGGCTACCCACAACCGCCGCAACCTTTCCGGACGCACACAGAGTGGCAAGCCATGAGAATGTTCTTTCATCAAAGACACCAGGATTGCGACTCGTAGCCACAGTAAGCACCACAGTCTGCGCACCAAACATCTTTTGCCATGAGACCTTGGGTTTGCCTGGACATATGTTCAACACCACGTGCTTAGCATGTTGAATCGCCTTTCGAGCCCTCCGATTCAGACCCAAAAACACACTGGCTCCTACCGGGTATTCCCCGCATTGGTTTGGAACAGCCCTGGCAAGTATTCCCTCCGATTCTTCGGGACAAATCTCCCGAAGTGCCCTCAAAACATCACTCTCAGAACCCCACGCACAAGGCTGATCGGACTCTTCACAAGGACTACCCAGCTTCAAAGCCCTCAAGTTCAAGGCCCTCCGAATCTTCTGAGCCCGACACTGTTCCAGTTCACCAATAAGCTGAATGCAGAGTGACTCCGTCACCGTCGGACACCCATTTTCAAGCTCGGTATCCAAAACCCCTCGCACAGGATGATGAATCATGCATCGTCCGGCATCCCATCTTACCCTACACCCAAGTTCCGAAACCAAGGCCCCAAGTGGACAGATCGGGGAAATGAGTTCTTGAGACAGCACTGTTCCTAGTGATGAGATCCTCAATTCCTGAGAGCCTACCGCAAGATCCACCCTGGTGGGACTGGCAACGCTCCACTCCCCCGGACTCGCACTGCGAAGCGCATGAGTGGCTCCTCCATCCAGAAGCCCCGTAGGCCCCTTGATCTTTCTCATCCCCACCCGGGGACCTTCTCGAACCAAAGTTTCTGTCTCTCCTTCTGTCTCGCTCTTCGGACTCTCACTCTCCCCTAGTCCATTCTCTTCTTTCTCATGAACATGCTGACCTAC